TCCGTATTCGTATTTATCATCGCCGCCAGGGAAGTCTTTCTGTTACTGTTGCCATTTTGGTATTTGAACCATCACACCTGTACTATACCAATTACGGTAATATTACGTTGCGTGTGACACACAGTATCATTGTCTGGTGTGCAAATTGGAAGTGTATGTACATTACATATAGATACGGTATTCCATGTTTGGGACTATATATCAGGACTGTGCAAGTGATGAGCATACTACATTTTGCCATATGAACACTTATGTTGGGCTGTATGACCACCTCCCTATCATAATAGCATGGTTTATTCCAATGTCAACCAGAACACCAAAAGTACCAAAGTACCTTAAGCAGAGTCCCACTAAAGTTAAACACTTGTTAGTGAATGAATCTTGATTAGTGACTTAGTGTTCAACCCCATTAGTAGTCCATATAGATGTATATACTGTGGAATACTTTATTTTCGCTGGAATTTATTTTCGCTGAAAAGGCTTTTTGGGCGTTTTGCTTGGAATTTATTTTCACTGATTTTTGATGAGATTAATGTAAAATATAGGAAAAAATGTATATTCACTGGATTTATTTTCACGGAATCATCCCTTTAGCGAAAATAGCGAAAATAAATTCCAAGCAAAAATAAAGTATTCTACAGTATGTTAATGATCAATCAATGTGTCTATGATCATATTTTAAACATTCAGTATATAATAAATGCCTTTTGGGATTTATGTGTGCTTCTCTTGAAATATGCTTTAATAGAATAAATGCAACATACGCTACTAATGATCAGTAGTTATTACTATTCAATTCAGCTTACCTTGCTTTCTTTGCTGCTTCTGTCTGATTTTCTCATTAATTACAGTTTTGAAACCATTGGCCTCGACTTCGTTGGCAAAGTTGAGAGCAACTTGAAAATTCTAAATCACCAATAAAGCACAATAATTATTGAATAATGCATAATATATCAAACTTACTATCCCAAATATAGCACTAAGCATTAGGTTAATTTCACAATATAAATTTATCAATCCGTATTACAGAAATGCATCCTCATTGTCATTGGGTGCAAATAAAGGTGTGGTTACTAGAATCTGGCAAAATACATTGCAGATGCAATAATAGACACAACTGTGGGAATAAATTTGAGAACTGCGAAAAAGAGATATCATACAAAACCATTTGGAAAACAATAGTTTATCAGTATTGCCAGAAATTGGGCTTTGTGTAAACAACCTGTAGATTTTTTCACATGCAGATCCTACAGTTCAGTACAAATTTGCCTTGAAGAAGAACTTGAACTGCAACTTACATCTGTAGCAAAGGTGTGGAAAAAAGATTTAGGTGTACCATACTTAAACTGGTTGTACAACTCTTGTTCCCATACTACATAGCCTTTCTGTAAAACATAAAAGAAAACAACACCTGCCTCAAACCTTTGAATTATCCCAAGATAAAATTTGACAAACATAATAATGATTATCAAGACACTTGCGTAAAAATACAATGCTAACAAGGAAAATATTGATGTGGTTTCTTTCATAAAATGATAATGCCAAAGCCAAATCGGTTTGGTAAGATTTTACTTCAAAATAAAGTCATGATCAGTGGCTGCATGGGCTTGTTCTATGCGAGACAGGACTACCTACTGTGACGTCAATATCGAGAACAAACATTTTCTGATAAAAATGAGCCAGATTCCCTGGAAAAACTCAACAGAGCATAGATAAAGATTAGTTTAAATTTAGTTTTGGTTGTGAATTACAGTGATGTACTTTGAAAGTCTAACAATCACACTGCATTTGTGTTAAAATGGGAAGATTTCATGCATATACCGGATTCTGCCGTGAATTC